AAAACAGGAAGCTCGAGGGGACACCCTTTTTCACAGCATATTCTAGACGCTGACTTTCCTCAGGGGTTTAGAGAACTTAACATCTGGTACGACGGGTCGACTGACCCCTCTCGACATCTGAGAAGTTTTGAAAACATGGCGGTATTGCACCGCTACAATGATCTCGTTCAATGTCGCGCATTCCTGACGACTCTACGAGGACCTGCGCAAGACTGGTTTTATCAATTGCCCCCGGGAGCCGTCAGGGACATTGACGGATTTAGTTCAAGTTTCCTGAATCAATTCGCAAGTGTAAAGGCCCAAGAAAAGTCTTACCTTACCCTGATAGGCATGCAACAGAAAGAAGGAGAATAATTGAGGGATTATGTGGCAAGATACACTCGAGCATGTGTCGACGTCCCCGCAGCCACTGAGGAAATCAAGTCGGGGGGACTCACTAGAGGACTCCTCCTGGGATTGTGCAAAAATTCCTTGGCAAAGCGACCCGGGAGGACGTTCGATGAGGTCCTAGGAAGGTGCGCCAAATACATGAATGTCGAGGAGGCCGAAGCCGACTTTTTGCAAGCGGCCAAAGCAAAGACTGAATCCTGGGACGAGAAGAAGGATAAGAAACCAATCACGTCGGGAGAAAGGAAAGGATCCCCGAAGTCAGAAAGGAAGGGACGATCAAGGGGATGGAGGACAACTCAGTATACCCCCCTGTCAGCCTCGAATGCAAGGATATTGGAGGTAATGGAGAAAGAAATTCGCGAAAGTGTTGTCAGGTGGCCACAGGCGAGGAAGAATGGACCGACAAAGCCCAAAAGTGATTTGTATTGTCGATTTTACAACGATTACGGGCATAATACCGACGAATGTCGGCACCTGAAGAATGAGATCGAGAGACTAATCAAAGCAGGCCATCTAAAGGAGTTCGTTTATAAGGATCGAGATCGAACCAGTCGGCGAAGGGAGAGAAGCAAGAGCCCTCGCAAGAGAGCGAGGACACCCGAAAAGGAGGAGCTCCCTCAGAAAAGAGCAATAATTCATATGATATTCGGAGGGTCGACTGATGGAGATTCAAATCGGGCCAGAAAGGCATATGCTCGAGGCCGCCACGGAAAAATTGAAGTGCAACAGGTTGAGGAAAACGGTCCAGTGATGAATTTTGGGCCAGCAGACATGGGGGAGGTCAAGAGACCTCACAATGATGCTCTAATGATCACTGCTTAAATATCAGGCTATGAAGTGCAGAGGATCTTTGTCGACACGGGAAGCTCGGTGAATGTGATCTTTTACAATTGTCTTAAACGGATGGAACTCGACATCGATCTTGCACCCCTGCACACCTCACTTTTTGGATTTAATGGCTCGGAAGTCGCACCCCTAGGAGAAACCACGCTCGCTGTCGTCCTCGGGGAAGGCGACTTGAGGAAAGTAAAGATGGTGCGATTTGTTGTAGTCGACGTCGAGTCGGCATATAATGTGATTCTAGGAAGGCCAGCGCTCAACGCATTCCAGGCGGTAGTGTCGACCTACCACATGAAGCTGAAGTTCCCCGTTGGAGATAAAGTAGGGGAGGCCCGAGAAGACCAGAAGCTATCAAGAACTTGTTACCAGATAGCTGTGAAAACGAACCAACGAACAGAAGTTGAGGGAAAGAAGCCGGCGATGAGCGAGAAAAGGCCAACAAATAGTGATCTCGAACCACACAGGGAGCTAATGGAGATACAAATCGGAGAAACGAAGGAACAAACCACTAAGGTCGGGAAAGATCTGAAAGACGAGCTGCGAAACCAACTCATCACACTACTAAAGGAGTTCAGGGATGTCTCCGCCTTCACCCATGAGGAGTTGACGGGGATCGACCCCACTATCATGGAGCATAAACTCAACGTCGACCCCCTCAGAAAGCCAGTAAAGCAATGACTTAGATGCCATGGTGAAGAAATCGACAAAGCAATTGAAATCGAGGTGGATAAGTTGCTGCGAGTAGGACACGTCAAAGAGATCCAATTTCCCGAGTGGATATCCAACACCGTGATGGTGAGAAAGGCATTAAACAAATGGCGCATGTGCATCGACTTCCGTGACTTAAACTTGGCATGCCCAAAAGATCATTATCCCTTACCACGAATTGATCGGCTCATCGACTCTACGGCTGGTTGCGAATTACTGAGTATGATGGATGTATCTCAGGGATACCACCAGATTCCATTGTGCCCGGAGGATCAGAGTAAGGTGAGTTTCGTGACGAGTAAAGGGACGTACTACTATGTCGCCATGCCCTTTGGGCTTAAGAATGCTGGAGCAACCTACCAACGGTTGATGGATCGAATGTTCAAATCTTAGATTGGGAGAAATATCGAGGTATATATGGACGATATCTTGGTAAAGAGTAAGGCCTCAACCTCACACCCAGACGATTTGAGGGAAACGTTTAAAACCCTTAGGGCGTTCGGGATGAAGTTGAACCCAAACAAGTGTGCCTTTGGAGTAAAGGCAGGACGATTCTTGGGGTATATCGTCACAGAGCGAGGAATCGAGGTGAACCGAAAAAAAGTGAAAGCCATACTCGACATGGCACCACCAAGAAATATAAGAGATGTGCAAGTTCTGACAGGACGAATTGCGGGGCTGAGTAGGTTCATTGCTCGAGCCGCAGAAAAAAGCTTCCCGTTCTTCAGATTACTCAAAAAGAAGTCGACCTTCTCATGGAGTGACGAAGCACAAATGGCCTTCGAAAAGTTGAAAGAATTCTTGGGCGAGTTGCCTTTGTTGACAAAACCAGAGCCCGGCGACGAGCTGGTGCTTTATATATCTGTGGGTTCGGTATCACTAAGATCAGTGTTATTACGAGAAGAAGGAGGTGTCCAACAGCCAATTTACTACACCAGTCGAGTTCTTCAGGGTGCAGAGACGAGATACTCCGAGATCGAGAAAGCCGCTTTGACACTGGTGATAACGGCTAGAAAACTAAGGCCATATTTTCTGAATCATGTGGTAGTAGTCAGGACGAACTTCCAGTTGGGTGAAACATTGGGCCGACCTACGGTATCAGGTCGACT